ATATTGAATTATATAAATGAATACATGTGTGAATACGCATGACCAGCCACAGATTTTGAAATATTCGATTGGTACCTTGAGAAATCAAATATGGCCGTGCGAATGCTTAACTAGCAACCGCTCTCCTTCTCCGGCCACATCTGGCTATCTCGAATAACATTGTTGCCATAACAACGGATGTCCCACAATCACCACCGTTTCTCTCGATATCTCTCGCTGGTTTCGTTTTCTCATCAGCTGCGCTATGCATTTTTACTTAGCTGCGCCATACATAACATAACCTGAATATTAATTATGTTGTCGCCCAAGAATTCAGAATTTTTATAGTATTGTTATTGGACACAGAAAAACTGTACAATACGATCGCATAAATGGAATGAATTTCAACATGGTGTAAACGACGAGGGCGGAATGTTGATATAACAAATATTTTGTTCCTATTGATTTTGCTCTTCCATTTGTATTATGTGGTTTGGTGTACATAGGTACTATATCATATTGTTGTACCACTACACACACCAGCTGCTAGGTTTATCCAATTTTTGAATACTTTTGAAATATATGTACATCTTCTAAGTGTAGCTCGGTAGTGTTGAATATAATTATCTCTAGAAAAAACTTGCTTAATATTAAAATATTAATCATACAAATAAAATATTTCTTACAGGTAGTAAATATGTATGTATACCAATTTCTCTTTTCATATCACAATCAGGTATTGTGCTAGTAGATATGTTAATGAATTAACGACAAGACAACTCTTACTTACAAGACAAATTGTACTTAAAACATATGGTATTTCACTCAAAATTTAAAACATACACTATATTATTTAAATTCTCTACTTAATTTTGTTAATGTTTATGATATGTTGGTAAAGTCATCCGTAATAACAAAAATAATATTATTGGGTATGTGGGTGTATGGACGGGGTAAAAAACTATTGATCCATTGATATATCTAAAATATATACTGATTTTTCGACATCATGAAAGCTATAGGTTCGGAATACTCATATTCGGAGTGTGTGGCTTTAAAAAGGTAAAGTTCATGATCGATCATTTTTGCGTTGCAAAGTTTTATATTTTGCAATCATTTTTTACCCTAACAATACTGCTGCATTCCACTCACTTAGATTTTTTTAAATGCCTTCTTTAATTATAATTGAACTTTTTATCAACATTGCAGATATATCGCTTCGTTTATGATAGATATTGCGTTTGGTATGTTATGAATGCCTGTGCGCCATTCGCCCATAATATACCGAAGTAGCCGCAATACGTTAGCGATGTAACTATCAGTGCGACTTTCTGTTGTGATATTATAAACCGGTTCTACATGGTGAGTCCCAAAAAATAAAACCCCTAGTTCAGTAGCAACACTAAGAAAAATCCATATATGTATAAAAAAATTACTGATTTCTTGTAATAGCTACATATATGTTGTTATTATTATTTTTATGCTTATTTTCTGTTGACATAAAAATATCTTTTGTCCGCCCCTGGCTCTAAATTATCACCACAGCAATTTTCAGCCAAATCGGTTCAATCGTTCATGAGTTATTAATAGTGCAACTAAAACAACTCTTTTTAATATATAAAATTATTGTTCATATATATATTTATATTGTATAGTTTAACAATATTAAAGGTCTMAAAAATAGAGCAAACAAAAACTGACATGTGTTTTAAAACCTAATTACGATTATTAACCCAACTTATTAGAATTTGTTTTTCGAAGTGTTAGTCATGCCTAATTCCCTTGAAGCTGCTGATTACGTGTTAGCGCACTATTGCAGCTAGTACATAACAGATGGTGCTGTATATGAGATGACTAATTATGAATTGTCAATTGTCAACTCACTAAAAAGTTAACATACTAATATCATATGTATATATTATAAATTCTCGCAACATACAGCAACAGCTAGTACATATAATAGTTAGTTATTTGTATCAAATATAACTAATCGAGATAGATATAGAGTTATATACTGTTAGAAAAAATAGAAAAAGCAAATTCCACTCCTATACTTAAAACCAGATTATGTACAAAAATAATTAACATAAAAGTGATATCATATAGATCATTGATAACGATTGTACTCTCCTTTTTGAGAAGATTTCGCTTTTTATATTTACCGTAATTTGCGATCTTATGAGTAGGAACGTTTTTAAGCTGTAAAAATTAATACAAACAAGGCACAATTTTGCGAATATTGCGCGTTCTTTTCTATTAGTTCCCTAAAAAAGAGTTTAGACTTGAACCATTCAAGTTTTGTGAGAGTAACTAATTCAAATCTACTTTTAAATTCAGAATGGGTCAAGGAGTGTACTGTACAGCACAAAAAAAAAAAAAAAAAAAAAATAGATTGAATTTGAGGCTTTAAACCATGATATTTTTACAAATAAAGGATGCACTATTAAGTATTCATTAAATATGTATTGTTTTTTTATTATTTTTCAAGGGAAAAAATAAAGATTTGTTTGATTTGTATTTACAAGACAATCTTCTGTTCCTTATGAATTAATAAGGTATACTTTTGTTAAAAAAAAAAACAGCATTATTGCACACCATAAAGCAA